ATATGACCTTACGATATTTTTCAAAATCGAGGTCTGTGCGAAAATAGAATATTTTTCGATGATTTTTTTAATATCTCGGGTAATAGCTCCGCGGGGAGATATGACGTTCCAAAACGACATAACTTCCCGCGGAGATATGACGTTCCAAAACGACATAACTCCTCGCGGAGATATGACGTCCCAAAACGACATAACTCCGCGCGGAGATATGACGTTCCAAAACGACATAACTCCGCGCGGAGATATGACGTTCCAAAACGACATAGCTCCGCGCGGAGATATGACGTTCCAAAACGACATAACTCCGCGCGGAGATATGACGTTCCAAAACGACATAACTCCGCGCGGAGATATGACGTTCCAAAACGACATAACTCCGCGCGGAGATATGACGTTCCAAAACGACATAACTCCCCGCGAAGATATGACCTTACGATATTTTTCAAAATCGAGGTCTGTGCGAAAATAGAATATTTTTCGATGATTTTTTTAATATCTCGGGTAATAGCTCCGCGGGGAGATATGACGTTCCAAAACGACATAACTTCCCGCGGAGATATGACGTTCCAAAACGACATAACTTCTCGCGGAGATATGACGTCCCAAAACGACATAACTCCGCGCGGAGATATGACGTTCCAAAACGACATAACTCCGCGCGGAGATATGACGTTCCAAAACGACATAGCTCCGCGCGGAGATATGACGTTCCAAAACGACATAACTCCGCGCGGAGATATGACGTTCCAAAACGACATAACTCCGCGCGGAGATATGACGTTCCAAAACGACATAACTCCGCGCGGAGATATGACGTTCCAAAACGACATAACTCCCCGCGAAGATATGACCTTACGATATTTTTCAAAATCGAGGTCTGTGCGAAAATAGAATATTTTTCGATGATTTTTTTAATATCTCGGGTAATAGCTCCGCGGGGAGATATGACGTTCCAAAACGACATAACTCCCCGCGGAGATATGACGTCCCAAAACGACATAACTCCGCGCGGAGATATGACGTTCCAAAACGACATAGCTCCCCGCGAAGATATGACCTTCAGACCTTCACGTTTTTTTTTTTTTTAAATCGAGGTCGGTGCGAAAATCGAATCTTTTTCGATGATTTTTTTAATACCTCTGGTAACAGCTCCGCGGGGAGATATGACGTTCCAAAACGACATAACTCCGCGCGGAGATATGACGTTCCAAAACGACATAACTCCCCCGGAGATATGACGTCCCAAAACGACATAACTCCGCGGGGAGATTTTCGATGATTTTTTTAATATCTCGGGTAATAGCTCCGCGGGGAGATATGACGTTCCAAAACGACATAACTTCCCGCGGAGATATGACGTTCCAAAACGACATAACTCCTCGCGGAGATATGACGTCCCAAAACGACATAACTCCGCGCGGAGATATGACGTTCCAAAACGACATAACTCCGCGCGGAGATATGACGTTCCAAAACGACATAGCTCCGCGCGGAGATATGACGTTCCAAAACGACATAACTCCGCGCGGAGATATGACGTTCCAAAACGACATAGCTCCGCGCGGAGATATGACGTTCCAAAACGACATAACTCCCCGCGAAGATATGACCTTACGATATTTTTCAAAATCGAGGTCTGTGCGAAAATAGAATATTTTTCGATGATTTTTTTAATATCTCGGGTAATAGCTCCGCGGGGAGATATGACGTTCCAAAACGACATAACTCCCCGCGGAGATATGACGTCCCAAAACGACATAACTCCGCGCGGAGATATGACGTTCCAAAACGACATAGCTCCCCGCGAAGATATGACCTTCAGACCTTCACGTTTTTTTTTTTTTTAAATCGAGGTCGGTGCGAAAATCGAATCTTTTTCGATGATTTTTTTAATACCTCTGGTAACAGCTCCGCGGGGAGATATGACGTTCCAAAACGACATAACTCCGCGCGGAGATATGACGTTCCAAAACGACATAACTCCCCCGGAGATATGACGTCCCAAAACGACATAACTCCGCGGGGAGATATGACGTTCCAAAACGACATAACTCCCCGCGGAGATATGACGTTCCAAAACGACATAACTCCGCGCGGAGATATGACCTTCAGACCTTAAAGATTTTCTTCAAAATCGAGGTCGGTGCGACAATCGAAATTTGTTCGAGGATTTTTTTTTTAATATCTCGGGTAAATAATGTCTTTTGAAATGCGTACGGATCCCTACCATCAATTGGTATTCAAACAAATTAATCATCAATGAAAAATGTTGTTAAAAAAAAAAGACCGATTCGTTCATAAATTCAACCTTTTTGATGATTTTATGGAATATTTCCCTCAAATAATGTCAGATTTTGCAATTAAATACCATTTTTGACTCGTAATGATCAGTTCTAACGATTGGCATCAAAAAAAGGAAATCCAAAATGTTTACCTAAATTGACAAAATGGCAAGGGGTTACAACACGCTTTTTTTTTAAAATAGAGGTCGATGCGAAAACTTTTTCGATGATTATACCCTCAGCTTTAATAGCCGAGTCGATCTAGCCATGTCCGTCTGTCTGTCCGTCCGTCCGTATGTATGAACGCAAGAATCTCAGAACATAAAAGATCTATAGACTTAAAATGTTTGAAATTTAGATGTAGGTGCTCCTAGTGCCTGTGCAGATCGAGTTTGTTTGTTTGTTGATAATCGATAACTTACTCCGTTTCCAAGCAATCGATAAAAATTTGGTAAATAATAAGAGCTAGGTCTCCAAACTTGACATATAGCTTCTAAAATAGAATATATATATGCATTTGATGTTGGACGAAAAGAGTTTCATCCCCTAGTCGGGAGCTCCCGACTAGAACCTCATACTTGTTAGGTCCAAAACTGTTAAGTAAATAAATGACCCTCGCACCACAAGCCACAAGCTCAAAAAGTTCGTTTAGTTCTCATCATCTAAGCTAGATTTTTATATTATACTTGGTGCCATGGGGCAAACTTTTAAATTTTGCGGTTGCTTTTCGGTTTGTGATTTCGTTCAGTTGACTTAACTTAGTTGTTCAATGTAACTGGGAAAGTTCCAGGATTCTTATTGCACATGTCGATAAATAGAGCACTATACTTATGGATTAAGTCGCAGCAGAAGCCAAGGGTCAAGAACCCTAAAGCAACACCCCTCAAATTACAGTCCTGACTGAAGTGAAATGCCGAAAAGGCGCACAGGCAACAAAAACAAAAGCAAGTGCGATGCGTCATTTCCAGTCGTGGGCAGGGGAGATCTGGTGGCCTGAGGTTGCCAAACGTGTTGAATGCCCACGGTTCGGCCTATGACATGCCAGGATTAGAATGTTGGCAGCCTGTTTGACTTTTGGCAGCACATTAAGTAGCCACAGACTTTGTAGCACTTAATACAACAGAAGATGCAGCTCCAGGATAAGGTCCACCCACTCTCTGTCACGAGCTGTGGGCGCCTGGTAAATAATTTGGTAACTTGGGTTTCTGGCTTAAATTACACATGCAATCGATATTACTCATTGCGCTGCTAATAAAAGTAAGTCTCGCCCAACTAGACAGGCGAAATTCAACCAAATATTTGTCCACATTTGTCTATGTATATGTGCACATATATAAGTATGTATATATATATATATATATTAGTCAGCGTATGTATCTGTTTGCTTAGCACACAATAGTTGCCCCTAGTTACGCTCGGGCCAAACAACAACTATCAAGGGTTCCGGCTTGCGGCGCTTGTTCTGGCATTTATTTCTGGCCTTATTAATCCTTTGTGTATTTTTAACGATGAATTATACGACTCGTCTGTCCCAATTATTCTGCTGATTTATGAAAAGTGCGCGCTGCAAATGCTTTTTTACACTTTACATACTTTTTTGTTTGATTTTAGCTGTGCTTATTTGAGTTTGAGAAACGTTTAAAGTTCAATGGGAATTAACATTTTTGACGTGGCAGGGATACATTTGTGCTTGATAATCAAAGAAATGTTTCACTCAGATTCAATTCAAGTCTCTAGTAAATAAGATTTAATGCCTTTGCTCGAAATATTAATTAAATTTTTGATCTACCCAATCAATGACAATTGGGACAACTGGCAACTGACAACAGCAAAGCAAACAGTGAAGGATTGAGATAAGAACGCCGCGAAGACACTGGGCTCTGGTGTAGAAGGCAAGCCGTCAGCATGGATTTGTTCGAGTTGGCAGCTTGATTTAATTTGACATCGTTGTCTGGGCGCAGCAGACACCAGGTGAGGCAGCTAGCCCAACCGAAGCAAACATAACTTGAACATATTTTTACTTGCACGCACTGGGGATTCGACAACTTCTTCCATTTGGAGTATTTGATTATGCGACTTTAATACATCCGCCAACTTTAAAGCTTGTAGCTAAATAAAATGAATTTATGATTATGTGTATTCTAGAGGGTATTGCCTGGTCAATCATTTTTGTGCAGCTGGTTCTTTCAGCCTTTGACTTACGGCAAAGTCGATCCAATGAAATAGACAAAAATTGCAATTAAGTGTAATTCCCAGATTTTTCCTCTATGTATTCATTTTTCCTGTGATATTGCATTTTCCGCAAAGTGCGAAACCTGACTTAAATGAATACGTAGAATTATTTTTTTGAATGGGTTTCAAGCTGCTCGAATGAAAACCATGCAAGAGTTTTCCACGCATTTTCCATGACATTAAGAGTTGTGTGCAATCGTGGAAATGCGTATTCATTAATTTTTTATGCAGAAATTTGAAAATAGGCTGAAAGCTTCTTGGAACTTTAGCGTTCGCCCTTTGTCCCATTTCCACTCGCAGATAATTTAGCAAAATTTTGCATTCTCAAAAGAATTTTCAGTAATTTAAACACAATTATTTTCTTAACTTTTCGAATTTTCCGAAACCTTGGCTTAGCGTACTTTAAGATTACATAAGATTCCATCGACATATAGCACGTGTATATAGAAACAGATAAAGCTCAATAGTGTGCACATTGACACCTACCTGTTGTTCCATTTTCTGATTCCGGCTGCTAATTGCAGACATTTTGACTTGGGCTTTGCTGCACTTTTAGCCGATTGAATTGTTGTTTTTAGACAAGTTTTCGCTATTTACGGTTATTCTTGTTGTTGTCCCTATGGAGCACACAGAGAGATATAGCCGATCGTTAGTTAGTTAGTTTCTATCATTAAACTATGCGGATCAGATGGCGAAATTAAATTAGACGCATTTAACAATATGCAATGCACTCAAATGTGCAAGCTACTTGTGAATGTGACGCATATATGCATGTACATGCATGCATTTGTGTGTGTATATACTCCGTTATGTGGTGCTCAACATGCATGCATGCATATGCTCATATGTGTGTGTGTGTGTGTGTATGCGCGCGACAGCTGCCGTGTAATGTTTGTTGAAAAGGAAATTTATTTGAAAGCAAATGAATGCAGCAAAACAAAACCCGAAAACGAAGGCGCAGAACGCGCGTCTGGGTGAATGAATACCGCAAGCGAGCTCGAAACGTAGTGGGACTGCGGCAACAACGACAACAACAGTTTAGAGTGCTCTACTTGGGAGTGTTCGACCAGCCAATACCCTGCATTCAGCGCACAGCTGTCTATCTGTTATATGTCTGAGTTATGTTAATAACAATTACTTTCAAAATATAGATTTATTGTTACTAGAGAATTTTCAAACTGCTAATGCTCTCTAGTGCCTGTTACTTAAATATTCACAAAATCATTATACCCTTTACTATATATCTTCAATGGGTAAACAATCATCTGCACACCTGGTTGTCTGGCACTGTTGTTGTTTCGTGTATAGTTACAGTTTTAATAGTTGTCGTTGTCGTTGTCGTTGTCTGTATTCTTTAGTAAATAGCACACGCGACTACAAATCTACATGTGTTTGTACATATGTGTGTATGTAGCTAATACTAATACTAAAACAGAGAAGAACAGTAACCGGCAGTTGTTGTTCGGCATGCGATCAAATTATGTTCGGTTTGTTGTGGTCGCGCGACGAATCGAAATGGGTTTTAATTTGACTTTGGCACCAGTCGCATAATTTTTAAACATTTCTATGGCAACTGTTCAATTGGAATTCATTTTGCACTATTTCACAAGACGTTGCAAAAATACATCTGTACATACATATGTGTGTGTGTGTCTGAGTATGCATGAATGTATGTATGTAAGTGTGTGCATACACACATTCGAAGCGATAATTTTTGGCGCGTCTTTTGCTTTGGCAACGCGACGAATTCTCCGTCAGCGAACCACACGCGACCGTTTCAAAATAACAACTGACGAAACGGACCAGCGGTCGCGGGCCACACCAGCTGCACTGGCGATTGGAATGTTCCGGCAATGAAACTAGCAGCAGAGCCGAGCGCCGCGACAGGACTTCGGGACAACATCCACCGTCGTGCACTGAAGGGAGTTTCAGAGTGCAAGAGAGTGCAGTAGCTCTCTCCTCTCTTAGTCAGCACTTCAGTTCTCGCATTTGGCTTACTCTTTGCCCGTTACCCATATCAGATTGGCTGCGGCCTGGCAGATGTGCATTGCTTCCCATTCAATGTTCGAGGGAAGCGTAGAATTTGTGTGTGTGTGTGAATATGTGCGTTCATATGTGTACCATTTCATTTATATGTATGTATATGCATGTAAAGTAAGTGTCTGATGGGTATAATCTTGGCTTTCATGGTATAAAAGCTGGTTACTTCACTTGGAATGCATTTAAGCATGTGTGCGCCATAAATGTCTAGATATCGAGTCGTACAGGATTACCCATTTACATACGTATCCCATGCGTAGAGTCTGAACTGCAAAGTATATGCATACTACAGGGTATCAAAGAATATGTTTGGCATTTCGATGCAGTATAAGAATATAAGTATATATACATATATATTATTAATACATGGCTATCAATCGATTTTATGGCTTTCTATATAGATCAACTATCTACTGTATCCTATGTTAGTTAGGCGAAAGATCGAATCAAAATAAAATAGAACAAGAAGTTCTAGCTCCCGACTAGGCGATACCCTGAACCCTCTTCTTCCAACATCAAATAACATACAATATAATAATATAAAAATATAAAATTCATAAAAGTATTTAAAAGTATTCTCAGTTTCTAGCAGATATCCGAGTATTTTAGCACTTATCTTTTAGCACTTTATCTTTTGTAAAGCTTAACTGATTTAAGTACTTCCGAACTATTGTTGTAGAGTTATTTAATTAGTTCGTAAGGAAAGTAAGAGAAAATTCTACTGAAGGATTATCGAATGGCCTTTCCTTTGACAGCTTTTTATAAGAATATAAATCTTTAACTGAATTAAAATGAATACAAATCTATTCAAAAAAGTTTCGAATTAGTTTTAATAGTTTCAAAACTGTATTTTTTTAAGATAAGTAAGAATAACTTAATTATTTATTCGATAAACAAATAAATAGACCCATATTGTCAAGCATAAATTCGTTTGCAGTTTTCTTGTCATTTTCAATTTCCCTATAAGTATTTTTCAGGTGTTGAGACTCCCAATTTCATAAAGCTTTATGTTCGATGAAGAGCGTGAGCTGACGCGAATGAATATATATATATATATATATCCTAGAAGAATCTATACTTTTTCTTTGTTTCGCTCTCGGACGGTGTCGCCTGCTGTTGGGCATCCAATTGGCGCTTGGGCATCAATGGAGGTGGGCTTTCTCTTGTGATGTAGGCTGGCGAAAGGGGGCGTGGTGCTCGCAATATCGATGTCAGCGGCGGCACTGGGCTAGCACTGGGCGCAGCTGCTCCGTTGGCTGGCGTCTCGCGACCATCCTCCTCAATGGGACCCAGGCGCGAGCCGTGCACGGAAGCCAGCTCCGACGGGGTCTTGATCTGGGAGCCGAGCTCGTCGCCAAACTCGCTGGCCATGCCCATGCCGATGGTGGCGCCGACCTTGGCGCTGGCGCGCTTGAAGTGATCGCTAAGCTTTATCTGCACCACGTTGATGAACATGGATGTCAAAGCCAGGCCGAATATCAGGTAGATCATGCTGACCATCACGTAGAACGGATTGCCTGGCACCAGATCGCCAAAGCCAATCGTGGACATCGAGATGAAGACAAAGTAGAAGGCGTCCAGGAATGACCAGCTCGTCTCAATGAATGTGTACCCGACGCTGCCCAACAGTATGTAGGCAATGAGCAGCATGGTGGCCACCGAAACCGGCAAATTGAACTCGTCGTCCACCTCGAAAGTCTCGGGATACGGCGATGTTGGCGTCTCCGGATGCGAGGTGCCCAAAGACTTGCCAGCCTCAGCATCGCCGTCTGCCTGCGATTCGGCATCGGCCGGCGCATCAGTCATGCCAAAGAACATGCTGGGCCGGCGTATAGCCATGTCGTAGACCGTATTGAATCCAGTCATGGCATCCCGCACCTGCTGTTGCTTTCGAATCTGGCGACAGGAGCGAGTGTAGTAGACGCGCCTCACATACGCCCACAGAAACTTGACGCAGCGCGTGAAGAGTTTACCCAAATCCGCCAGCACAATCAGGAACATCGGAATGCCAATGATGGCATAGATGATAGTCAACGAGCGTCCCACAGTTGTCTTCGGTGTAATGTGTCCGTAACCTAGTGGATGAGACAGTGAATCGATTAATCTCGTGCTATTGCAATCGAATATATATTATACATTATATGATTATATTATATTAATACAGATAACTAGCGAAAAATCAGGAAAATAGTTTTATAAATAAACAAATAACAAGTAGAACATCAAAAAAAATCTTAGATTTAATAGCACAGCTTGTCCGGATCCACTTCCAAGTGTGTCTAAGATACTTTGATTGCCGAGTCCTTCCTGCCCTTGGGTGTTTTACCTATGGTCGTGATGACGGTCCAACAATATATGAAGCAGTTGACAAAGTTGAATGACTTTTGGCCTGGATAACGGCGCAGACCCAGCTCTGCCAGCGTGTTGAGCTCATCCTCGAAATTGCGCAGCTTCTGGCGTGCCAAGGACTTCCAGTCATCCTCTCTGGCAAAACGAGTGAAAGTATTCAATGTCAAAACCCAACTCAACTTGGCCGACAAGTAACTACCTCATGTTGTGACTGACTGTCCACAGATTGTCGATGAAGTCGCGCTTCACCTTGCGCACCTCGCACTTGTAGATGTTCTCGGACATGCCCTCCGTGTAGCGGAACAGCAGTCCGCCAAAGCCCAGCAGCAGGATCAGCAATATGATGTGGGCGATGCACTCGTTCCGCAGCCGTCGCATCTCGGCCATGCGCACGGGATAGTCCAGCTTGAGGCGCCGCCACTCGTGCACCGCCTCCAAGCGCAGCCGCACCAGAAATGCCCTCGACATGAACTTATTCGTTTCCGAAGTGTCCATTGGAACCACAGATGTGGTTTGGCCCACACGCTGTCTACTCCTAAAAAGGTTACCTAACCGCCTTAGGAGTGAGGGTTTCTCAATTGTACAAACTTCCGTTTCGGTGGTCAGTGTCTGAGGCTCTGCATCAATGGGCTGTGGCTTCTCCTCCTCCTTCTTCGGCCGCTCCAGGCTGGCTGTGCGCTTTGCCCTCACTGGTCGCTCCAGGCTGGAGCTGCGCTTGGTCTGCGGCTTGACAGTTGGTTCCAGCTCCGGCACCTTTAGGCTGTTGCTGCGCCTCACTTTGTCCAGACTTTTGAACAGCGCCGCCTCCGCAGCTGCAGCTCTTTCGGCTGCCTCCACATAGGCTCTACGCAGTTCTGTGCGCTGCTCCTCCTCGCTGAGCTTCATCCTGACGGGCTGCTCGACCGCAGACTCGCCTACCTCCACATATTCCGATTTGCGGCTGGATTGCTCTGCCTGTGCCGCTCGCTGCTCGGGCGTCTTCGAGCGCCTCTGGGGACGCACGGGCGATAGAGAATTGTTTCGACTGACCGAGTGGCGCTCCGGTGGCCTGGGTGCTGCCTGGTTGGTCGGCGGCGGGGGTGGTGCTCCACGAATGGGCACAGCCACATAGCCTTGCAGCGGAGTTGCTGCCTTCTTGACCTTGGTGTGCCTTTCCTCAGTCGTGTCCGCGTCGGAGGAACTGAACTGGGTGGACGACTCCTCGTAGCCGCTGCTGCGATTGCGCAAGCGCACAGAGGGCGCCTCGTGGCGCTGCAGGCGCAGGCTCTGCACCAGTCGGCGGCGCTCCTCCTCGTCCTGCGGCAGCTGGAAGCCGTCGCTGATCTTGCGGTAGTTTTGCAGCAGCCGCTTGCGCTCCTCATGGTCCAGCTGCTGGCGATGACGCACCTTGTGCTCCCTGCGCTCGCGCTCGAACAGCCGCTTCTCTGTCTCGAAGCGCCGTCGTTCCTCCTCGAAGCGCAGCATATTCTGCTCCAGCCGGCTCAGCGTATTCCCGTTGCTGCCCCGCTTCTGCTGCGCCATGTACTGTGACTGCGAGCTGCCCGTCAGCTCGCTCTCGCTGGACTCGTCCTTGTGCCGCGGCGACGACAGGCTGCGTTGGTGCTTGATCAGCAGCTGGTGGGCATCGGGAATGCTCAGCTTCTCGGCCTCGCGCGGCTGACTTTGGCTGCGCGCTGCAACGCCCGCAAAGCTTTTGTCCCTACGCCGCAAGATTTTGCTCTCGTGGGCGGACATTACACCGGGCGGACGAATCTGCATGGACACGTGCTGTGCCGCCGCGTCCTGATCCTCATCCTGATGCGCCCCTTGGTGGTCTGACTGCCACCGGCTGGCGTCGGGCGTCTGCTCGCGCTGACTGCGTGCCATGCGGCGACGGTGTCGTATCTGCCTGGACGATGCCACAGCTCCCTGTTGCCCGGCATTCTCCATGGCGCAGTCCAATTTCAGAAATGCTGCTTATGCTCAGAGTTTACTTAAACGTTCGTCTCACTCTCTCGCTCTCTCGCTCTCACTCTATCTCTTTTCTCCGCATTGGCTCTATTTTTATCACACGTTCATATTTTTATTTCAATTGCCCAAATGGAAAATTATTTCTATACGTAATTATATCACTTTCGCGTGCAATTTCTTTTTATAGCGCTCGACCAGGCGTGTTAAATGTAATAAGCGGGGCAGTTCCAATTGACTCTCAAGTCCCAATATCTCTCAATCCACATAATTCATATTCATACTCAGATTTTCGTATCTCTGTTCACTTCACTGTCACACTCCCTCACACATATACACATAGGTATATATTTATATTTCAGATATATTTATTCTGAAATAAATAATTCTATTCGAGAGCACGTCGCGCCTTTAACGTATTCACTGCTCGCTACGACGTCGTCTGGTTTTCAACTGCTCCGCACGAAAATATTCAAAAATGTTGTATACATTTTTTGAAAAAAAAAAAAAATACTTATCAAAAGCAACAGCTGTTTTTCGCTCTACGGATCGTCGTCAGCTTCTATGTTCTCGTGTCCACCACTGTTCGATTTCCGTATAACTTTTAATTTCAATAAATAAAAAACTTGAATTCTCATTTAATCATATGCTATCTAGATTATTTATGCAACACAGATTTTCATAAGCAACATTTGCAACAGCAATTTCTGTTGTGCCCAAGTGCGTTCAGGCTGTGCACAATATTCCAGCCACGACTGTTGAAAAGCTCTCAAAGCTCTCGTCATCTGTTGCCGTCAAAATGTGCTCCACAGAACGCATTTAAATTTAGTATATAAATTAAATTTAATTAATTTAAATGCTTCGATGTTGTCATCATCTATCTATAATTTACAGCGACCGTATTAATTATAAACTCTATTATAATAATAATACATCATTAACTATTGTTAGAATTTGTTTGCATTTCTTCTTCCCAAAGTAATGCTTAGTTTCAAGTTTAAGTCTTGGAAATGTTCAAAATATGGCGGGCATATGATATAAAACGAGTCACGATTTTGTAATTTATCTGCCCTGATAATTCTTCTTAAACAGAATACCCTGTAATTGAATTTTTAGTCTTCGGTAGATGAGTTCATCTTGGACCACTTGGAAAGAACATCAGAACATCTTCCCATAGAGCTATTTGATGTATCCATATTATCCAAACTTCTGTATGGATCATAGTAAAGCTCATCAATGTCAACTTTGGTCAAGATATCTTCAAAAGTTAACAATATAATCTTGCAGACATGACTATGTCGAATTGGCTGTTGACAATGATTAAGAATATTACATTAGGAGAGGAGTCTGCTTCTTTAAGAATAAGGATAACAGGGATAACTTTTACATTTTTAATCAAAATAAAATAAACAAAATAACAAAACAAATTGATCAGAAATTTCAAATTCGTTTCAAATTGTTAACAAAGAGATATTAATGCCAGGAATGGTATATATATATTACGAAATTTAATTGGAACTCTTTGAAATCTTTTAAAATAAGTCTTGCACTTCTATTTACGCTCCCGACTGATATTTCCTTCCGCCTTCCGCTTGCTCTGTTCGCGCTGTTCGTGACTTGTTTCTCATAAATGTTTTGTTTAAAATTAAATAAAATCACACTCAATCTGAAGGCATACCGAATTGCCTGACTATGTCTGTGAATGAAAATTCTAATGAAAATTCAATTATAATTCTTTTTCGATATTCGCGATCAGCACTTGTGACGCCATCCCAGCCGAAGCGTACATAAATATTTTGGCAACAGAGAGCAGCATACATATTCCGAATGTGGATTTCCACAAGAATTTAATATCAAATCAATTCGGCCAAATACTTTAGCTGTGTGATAGACGTGCCGCACCAGCCACACGTGGCGTATGCGTAATGCTTTCCCGTTGATGACGGATCCAGTTCGCAATTAACGCTTGCCTGTGTTTATTTATTTGATTGCTTGGGCTTTTTATTCAGGAATTCCTGCTTGAATTAAATACATATCTGAGCATGTTCAATAATTGTTTACCCTTCAAGTAGGGATATTAAACGAAAGACGGACGTCAAAATAGATTTGATTAAGTGTAAGCAATTCGTGAGAATTTCGTCTGATTCTAAATTTGTTTTTAAAATCTTTTATTAAGAACGATGACAATTTTCCAAAAATTTAAGACAACTTAATATTTGTCTGCACACACACACACGCACGCACGCACGTATAAATGTGTATTTATATATATATATACATTCATATATTATCTCGCATGCAAATGTTTCTTTTTTTCTTCTATTCTATATAAATAACACACACGAGGTACTTTCGCCAGCAAAAGAAAAACATGGGAAACTATTTCCATTTTTTTGTGTCACATACTTTTCATGAAAATGTTGACAAGTTCTTTAAAATAAGTATTTACAGCAGATATCATATATGTATATATATATATATATATGTATGTATATGTGACTAAATATAAAATTCGTGACAAATTGATAATTTTTTATTTGGCTTACGTATCTTAAATGCACAATTCGTTCAGGTCGCGGCAAATGGCCAAACTCACCGATTGTCGTGTAAATGGTGCAGCTGTAGACCATGGCATTCCAGAAGGACCACGGATTCTTTTTGATCGCATCCTCCTCCTCTGTTAGGCCGGACCTGAGCAGAGTCTCAATTATCTCCTTATGCTCATTCATTATCCGAAGCACATCGCCATCAAAAACCGATTCTGGCAACTATCGAAATGGATTCTCATTTTTAGCTCTTGTAATAAGTTAAAAGTTCTATTTTTGTTTACCTACCGTACGTGCACGTGGATTTTTTGTCATTTCTCGCAGTTCATTGAAGAACATTTTTTGCTGATATTGCAGGTTCTTTATTTCTAGGGCAGCGGGACGAACTGTTGAAGAGATCAGAAATCGGATATAAATGACATGTTATATATTTTCCTTATATTGATTTTTTGCGAAATTTCCTTGAGGTTCAACCAAATATTAAACATAGATTTGCATAACTCCTAGTCAAAGATCATGATTCACATTTTGTTGAATGCTATTTTCACACGGCGACTAGAGTATGGCACAGTCGTGTGCATCCGGCTGCAGCGCTGTTTGTTTATTTTTGACCGAGTTTCGAATTAAAGAAAAAACATAAATTTGAATTTGAATCGAATAATTGACGTTGTGGCTGCTCGCGCTAAGCTAAAGTGATTTTTACGCATGTTTTTTAATGGATATATAATAAAAAATATATATTCGTAATTTTCAATTAAATTTGTTGAAGGATTAGTTTGATTATATATAGAGTCGGCTGATAATGCTAATCTAGAATATATTATATAACTTTTACAGGGTCGGTGCTCCCTTGTAAATGTTTCATTATATTCAGGATGAAGTTACACTAATTACATACATATATAATAATATATATATATATTAGCTAGTTTGTCCCATCTGACTGGATGGGAATCAAAGCACAGCTAAAGCTCTTTCAAGATGTTTTGACTTCTTCGATTCGATGAGGCAGTAGAGCTAGAGTCTCCAATTCAGATAGATTTCTTTTTCTTTAGCGATCTTTAAAAACGCTAAATAGATTATTTTATTTCAGTTTGGCATTCACTGCTTTGAAGTAACAGTCTAAGAGTCACCAGACCACATATAAGACTCTTTTCAACTGATAAAAACGAAAATCACACAATGAACAGAATATTTCGCAGTCGGCGGAAAAGGTTCTACTGTTAATCAGTAAAACCAGAGTGAAACGAATTTATATTCGAGAGAGAGAAACTATGGATATCTCCAGCGCACCGAAGATTGAATAACCTTGTAGAAATGAGCCCTTTGCCAACATGTGAGAGCAATAAAGCTGATGCTGACATACAGGAAACTTCTTTTCGACCGATCGTTCCTATATCAGCTATATATATATATATTGAAAGTCCGATGCTGATAGGATTTTGTATGTAAGAAGTTTGAAAGTCTCGAAGCTAGCCTCTCAGGGTTTGCATAAATACGGACTTGGCTATATCAACTCGATTCTTGATGCTGATCTACGCTATATAGATTCTATATGGGACTCGATTCTTGATGCTGATCTACGCTATATAGATTTCTTATGTGTGTCGAACAAGTCGACTTCTATGCGTTACACATTTCATGACAATTTTATGTGACCCTGGACAAGGGTATGAACAACTTAGAAAGGCCTGCACCTGAACGTGTGCTAAGCACATGTCCAAGTGTAAATTGATGAAATGTAATTCTGAAAGCAGTTTCCATTTTCCAATCATCAGCTGCAATTACTGAGCTGCTGCTGTTAAAATTAATCATCTTCCTTGTCGATTGTTTATGCCTGGGGGCCATTTGCTGTGATTCATGTGTGTATTTCATTGTTTTATTCTGCACGATCATCCGCTGCTTTGACTAAATTATTTGTGTATTGTCAGTAGACATTGAATCCGATCGATTGGAATAGCTTTACGAGCCAACATGATGCTGTCCAGGTATATATTTGTGTATACAGCCTTTGGTTGGGCTAAACTGTTCTCAAAACAATTGCCGAAGTGCTTGATAAGCAAACAAATCATCTGCAAGATTGTTTATACGGACGGGCGCGAGTACCGTGCCTCATCGGATTCGAATTAGCTGCACACAAAACATTTTAGAATTTCACGAAAGAAGTTAAACATTTGGTTATGCTTAAGCTACATGTGCTTGCTTCGCCCTATTCCTACCTTCGACCGTGCGAAAAAGCAGAGCTCCTCCGACGCTGTAGAGGGCCAGGACTATCAATAGGAACATGTGTGTGAACCATTGTCTGGACCACTTGCTAAACTTGTTGTACATAGCATAGGTGAACTTCTCGCCGAAGCTCATGCCGGACTTGGTGAGATCAAGGAAGCCCTCGTAGCCCTTTGTCATAAAGTTGCCAGCTCCAAATGGATTGTTGACAGGCGGCCAATAGGGACCCTGGGTGCCGGTGCCCGTGTAATTTGTCTGTGAGGTGAATGGCGGCTGTGGCTGTGCACTGGGCGGCATGGATGAGCCGCCCATTGCCGAGCCGCCGTAATTGTTGTATATATTGTGGATATTGATGCGCGGCGGCCTATTCGAACGACGCGAAGGCGGCGGCGTGCTGGGTGTTGGAGTTGGGTTCTGCATCTTGTATGTTGATCTAAACTTTATCTAGCCCTTGGTTTAATTTGCGAACATTTAGTTTTTTATTTAGTCATGACAGCTCGTTTTGATTGTTTAAATGGACACTTTTCTTGAACGAAGCACGTAGGTATTTAATTTATTTTTATTTATTTTTTTTCTGACGATATTCTATATACTTGTATCTAGCATATTTGTATTATTTTTAATTCTATAAGCACAAGTTTTTGCCTCCACGTCCACTTCGAACGCGTCGCGATCTTTGGCGCCGTACGCTTCTGCTGCGGATCGCTTCCGTCCGCCTCGTTCTTGATTTAGACTCAAACTAAGGCAAGCGTATTCACAACATTATTGTCGCTCTGCCCGCCGCGAATCTCGTTTCGGCAATGTGCACGAGCGACCACAGTGACGACAGCGGCATCCATGAGGTCACCATTCGACCATTCGACCATGTTGCTGGTCTTTTGACGCGACGACTCTCGCTGAGCTCGTGGCTCGAGCAGGCCAGAGGCAGCTAATGCCCGATGACCGATCTCCTAATGATGTTGGCCATTGTCAGTTCTTGTCAGCAGCGAACGAGCAGAAGACGGATTAAGCCAAGCTACCTAAGAGTTTGGGTTCACCTGGTGTACGAGTTCGCTTCGAATGGCAGATAATTATAATTGTTTAGTTAACTGAAGCCAAGTCTCGATGAATCATATTCAAATTATTTAAATAATTCCTAGAACCTAATGCGTAAATACTGCCTAACATATATATATATGTATACGTATACATACTATATATACATAGATTATACATACATAATATATATAGAAGGCAACTACAAATTGTTATTTATACAAATGTTTTCGCATTTATTCAACGCTTGACACTAATGAATTCCAATTTTTCTCGAAATATTTTGCGTTCTTTCTTAAAAAAAAAAATAATAAATAAATAAATAAATATTTTACCAACCAGAATCAACCGAGTCGTATGCCAAAATCATTGAACGCACTGCAACTTGGCGTCGTTGTCCATGTCCAATACTTTTCTGGCAATCCGATAAGACATCAAGGAATTTTATGCACTCTAACGAAAATTGTATGAAAACTGTAATAACAGCTCGCAACAGTTTTCAAATGATGTGTGATACGTATGATATGTACTAAAAGATACATTTGCAAATTGAATATGGTAAAAGAAAGGATATTCACAATTTATGCAAAGAAGTTATGAATACTTATAATCTCGTACAGCATCAATATCCGATTTGATTTATTTATGTACTCGATATCAGAAACTAAATTTATACCAAATCGATAATAATCGATGTTTCCGAATCACAAAAGATAGAAACGCCAAGCTTTTATAACTAAGCTGTCGAATAGATCTAGATTGGAGCACAAAATTTATTCAAGAATAAATTAAGCATATTTTCCGGCTAAGTTCTTATTTATTATGTAATATACTGCACGAGACAATATGGTGTCCAAGAGATCCTCGATCGATTCTAAGATACTTACTTAATTAGTTAAGCGGTTCGTTTTTCGGTTCGGTTAACATTCAAGTGTTTTTTCTTTTTATTGTATATGTTGGAATATTGCCACGCGAGCGTACAGATTAATTAAAATTTATTGTATACATATATATCTGAAACTTTTAAGTAAGAATTATGTATCGTAAACAGTTATATATATATGTGTTATATGCGATGAATATGTCATAAATATATGTAATTTGCACAAACTTGAACAGCTTACATGAATCCCAACAACAATTCGCAATTACATTAAATGTTGCTATGAAAATAATTGATTAAATGCTGCTATAGATATATATAAGATTTCTTTATGAAAACTGTTCCTGTTTGAAAGCTCAGAGTTGTCTAGCATAGGTTTGTCTATATATATATATATATATATATTGGGTCGCTTAGATTAGAAAGAATATCAATTTTACAACAAATCAAATGTGTCGAATATCATAAAACAATTATTATTATTTGTAAATGTTACTCACAGTCCTTACAAGTTTTATTTTAGCGTTGTAGTTTTTATTATTTTATAAGATTTTGACTTGCACAAACACAAATTAAACTCAAACTATGATACTGATAAGCCATAAACTAATCATTTTGAAGATCGATCGAAGACGCAACTCGTTTCTTTGGATGGGCCTCAAACAGCCGATAGATACGCCCACAAGTTAGTTATATATTTACTCGTTAATACATTCTATTTTTTTGTATTTTGTTTTTTTTTTTTTTTTTTTTTTTTTTAGCAATTATGTTAGGGATTTGTTGTTTACTTCGGGTTCGGAATCAATTACACTAGAGAGCATCACTAGACTAAAGCACTACGAGAACAGAGCAGGTACAGTACTATGTCAATTCTGTTAGTTAACAGCACTGTGTCAAATATGTTAGTTCGTTAACAGGTTCGAAGAACAGAGTCTACTTGAGCGCCTCTTTCACTCGCTGCTCCCACTCTGCCCGCCGCTGGTGAATACCCTTGAACTCTCCCACTGTTGCGGATCGTTCAACTTGCTTTGTGGGCGTGGCACCTGGCTCCAATGCGCCTGCAGCGCCTGCTGCTGCTGCTGCATCGGCAATTGTTGCTGTTGTGGCTGCAACTGTTGCTGCCGTTGTTGTGGCCGGTTTCAGCTGCAGGGAGTAGCGCTCGTTGGTCGGCATCGCGCTGCTGTTGTTGTTGTTGTTGTTGCTTTTGTTGATGCTTTTGTTGTTGTTATGAACTGTGGCATTGCGCGCATTGGTGACCTTTATGGGCGGCAGATTGGACAACTTCTGCTGAACAGGCTGAACATTATTGTTGAGATTTCGAAAATCAGCCACAGAGCTGCGATTGTTGGAGCTGGGCTGTGCGTGAGAATGGC